AATATTTATTAAATAATATTTATAAATTAAAAATATGGAATCAATATGTAATATAATTTACATATATTAATTTATTGAAAATGTTATATGAAATGTAAATTGTGAAAAAATACATAAAAAATGTCTATTTAAAATTAACACACAACCGTACGGTGCACGTAACTGATAATAAATTATATTATATTCATTTCAAAATAACTGTCATTTTAAAACTTTTATTCAGAAATTTGATTTGCTACAATGTAATTCTATAAAATAAATATTTTGGTAAAAATTTATCATATATTTAAAAATCTATGTACATATATATTAAGTATAATTATAAAACTTATATTGTTTTATTATTTACAATAAGTTTATTTTTGTATAAACTATCCACATAAGAAAATTAAGTAGTTGAGTAATTTATTAAACTTAAATAATTGACTATTCCATTTACGTCCAAGTTAATATTGACCCGTAAGTTATAAATAATTAGTTATTTGACTTTTGAATTTGGACCCAAATTTGGACTACACAATAAATTCCTTTATACCTTTCATACACACATATACATATTATCTCACAAGTTTCTAGAATTGTTGTCTGTTATCTTATCTTTCAAATTTATCAACTAATTTTCTATAATTAAATTATAAATTTTAAATTTCATGAATCAATATTTATTCGAAGATCTTTCTGATTTTCAGGAGGAATACATACCAATTTGTCGAATTATCACAAATATCTTATGTCAAGTTATTATGAGATTATGATAAACTTTGATTTTCATACCCATAACAAATAAAGTTCATACCACCTTTTTTTATTTTTTAAAATTTCTAAATACACTTATACCAAATTTAGTAATGTTAAAATTTTTAGGCGGGATGTTATCTTATATTTTAAGTAAATACAAACTTTTATATCTATAGATAGATAGATAGATAGATAGATTGGCTTGATTTATAAACATATTTAAATAATATAGTAAATCAGTAATTTATATATATGTGAAGTGTGAATGTTAAATCAATATTATATCATATATAAAAGAATTAATACAACCAAAAAAAAAATATCAAGCTTTAAAATATAGTCATAGTCATACCAGCTAAATCAATCTAACTCGAAATTTTCAAGTTTTTGTAGCAATGAACTTATGAACATTGTTTTTTTTTAACACAATAACAATTTTGGTTGAATCAAATCGGTTTGTTAGGCATAAAATTTACATTGCACCAATGTATAAGCCTCTAGCATAAATTGTATATTTTTATTTCAGCGTCATTATTAATTATCACTTTGACTTTTTTAATATAACAATTTTGAAAATGAAAAATAAAAATCTTGGGGATAGAAATTTGGGATCAAAATTAATGAGAATATCTGTTTTCAATTTTATATATGGATGTTGCGGCTAAGTGATATTAATTGGAATGGATATTGAATGTTGTGGTTGTGATATTTATTAACGGATGATCTTTATTTATATTGAAATTAATAGGTAAATATGTTTCCCTAATAAATTAAAATTACCCTAAAATAAAATCAAAATATTTTTAAAATTCGAAATTAAAGCTCTATTGGCCGGGAATTTTCGAATTTTGTCAAAAGAAATTGCCAAGTTTAATAATTTTAAAAAATTTAGGCGGGATTTTAGCCTATATTTCAAGTAAATAAAAATATTTATAACTATATATATATATATATATATATAGATATATAGATATTTTTATTTTTGAGATATATTAAACAATAGTTGTGATAATACGTTAGGTGATAATGTCAAAACAAATATTTGATGTGATTTATTTTTATAAATGTTATGAAATTTTACTTTAAAAATATTTGTAATCTAATTAAAGGTTGCAAAAATATTTATGTGGATAAATGTTCAAATGCCATTAAGAATCGTGTACTTTGAAAATTCTAATAAATGATTTTCGAATATCTGGATAAATATTCAAATGCCATTAAGAATCGTGTACTTTGAAAATTCTAATAAATGGTTTTCGAATTTGTGGATAAATGTTAAAATGCCATTAATATGTTCTACATATTAGTGAAACAAAATCTTGACCAAATCTATACAATTGCTATCCGATGTGCACAATGAATTGTGTGATTTTGTTTTAAATTTTCTAAAAATTCAAATAGGTCATCTAGAATTTATCCTATCTCATAAAAAAAATCATATATATATGATTTATGACAATTTTATCTGACAAAAATAATTTAAACCATCCATATAAATTTGGATATTTTTTAAACTCGAAGAAGGTAATTTAAACCGTCCATGTAGATTTGTATTAAACCGTCCATGTAGATTTGTATTCTTTCCAAATTCGTAAGAATGTGTTGTAATTATATAAATATAGACACCCAATTGATGGTGTGATATTTTAAACAAAAAATTGAAATGTTTCTTCGATTGTATAAAAAGGTGTTGTAGTTTGATAAATTCCTACAACTAATTGTTGCGTGGTGGAGATTTTCCAAAAATAATGTTGTTCATGTACAAAAAATAATGAAAAAAAAAATCTTAATATTTTGAATAATTACCATAATTAATTATCTATGCTATCAATAGCAATAAATTAGTTACTAAACACATTAAATAATTAATATGCACATCTCATAAATAAATATTATTCATATTATATATTTATCGTAAATAATAATCTATGCTATCAATAACAATAATTAATTATCATATACAGTAAACAATTAGTATGTAAATCGCATAAACAAATATTAGTCATATTAAATGAATAATGACAATAAAAATAAAAATAAATAAATAAATAAATAAGGAAACAAAATATTAGAAGTTGGAGATATCTTTCCTATTATCCAGAACTCCCACGCGTACACAAATTCTTATCGCTCAAACAGAAAAACCGTTCACGCACGTCTCTGCCAAAGAATCGCTCAGTCTGCAACAAATTTGCCGACTTTCGCGGTCGGAAAAGTTTCTGGGCAGAAACACGCACGTCTCCTTTCCCGGACCAGAGTCACGCTTTTTTCTCCAGCAAGAGTCATCTTCTCCGTGCAGCAACAGCCGCGCCTCTGACCTGGCACCCTCCCGCAAGCCTCCTTCAACCATGCCCGACCAAAATCCGTCAACGGCGTGAATCATTTATGTCCGGCGCCACTCTCACTCAGCCCTTTGCGCAAGAGGCAACCAGTCATGGTGAGTTCATCCATCTCCAGCAGCCCGCACAGAATTCCGGCCAGCAACTCGCCTCCGGCGTCTATCCGTTCAAGCCGTCTTGGCCAGCATGTTCGTTCCAGCCCGCTCAGTCCGGTGTAATATTCACGCACAATCAACGTCGGGAGTCCACTTCAACTTGGTCGCGTCACACGAAAAATCTCGCCCAATTGTTCTGCCCAAAAATTTTGCGTCGGTCATCTTCTCCGGCCTTCCTGCAACTTCCGATCGTCTTCTACGGCCAGCACGTCATCTTCTTCGTCTCTTCCGGTCAGCAGCAACAACACCTACCCTCAGAACACCCATGTCCATCCGGCACTTGGGAGCTCAGCCACGAACAAACGTGCACAGCTTTCTAGCCGAAACTTGGCCGGGCTCAGTCGAGCATTGCACCTCCTTCTCCAGCCGTCCCTAACATGGCCATCACTAATGAAATTCTTCAGCCTGTGTGTGCAGCACGTTCAACATGGCCATCACCCGGATCGACATGGCCATGTCCAGCACGTTCGGTCCCCATTTGACATGTCCCTGATGTACATAGCCGGAGATGGTGGCTTCGCCGGACCGAGAGCTCGTGGCAATCGCCGGCGGCGATCTCGGCGGAGGAGAAGATGATATGTATATAGATAGGATTTTTTCTATGTAATTTTTGTTGTTGCATTTATATAGATAGGATTCTATTAATTTTTGGGTCAATTGTTTTATTAAGATAACTACAAATATTTGGCAAAAAAATCTCACCATATCTTGCTAAAATCAATGAAAATAATCTTCAAAAAAATTCGAAATGCATAGTGGCGGGCTTGTTCAATTTTCTGCCAAAAATCTTGCTGTAAACTTTAGGCGGGAATTGAAATCTTTTTTTTTGCTGATTTTTTAGTTGATTTTTTCAAACAACTATCATTCCCTCTTTATATATTAATAGATTACATTACATGTGGAATATATCAATTACTTTATATTTTAATTAAATGTATATATTTTGTTTCTTCTAGAATTCAAATAGAATATTTATTTTGTGATTGACCTTATGGATTTTAATAATTTAGTTTTGACACTCATTAGATTTTAAAAATATACTTTCATTCATTTAACTTTGTAATTCAAGTAAGTTGTTTGCAGTCCGTAGAGAGCAGCCTTAAAGCGTACTTTCCTAGTGTATTGAATATTAAAAAGAATTATTTTCACACATTGACTTCTTTATGCTTGGCATATAGCTAAAGATGTTATTCGAGTCGAGCCAAATCAGATATCTCATGTTCGAACTTGTGATTATTTAATAAACAAATAACTTGATTAGGTTTTCGAGCTTAGCATTTTGAAATGTATGAAATAGTTGAGTTCGAGCTTTCACGAGCCAAAATGAATTGTGTTCGTGAATAATTTGATTCGAATAATAGCTCAATGTTAAGTCACCTAAGGT